TAACCGCAATGATCAGAACTGGGCAGAAGTCATGAGCTTCCTCTAGGTCTTCCATGTGGCACAAACACTTGGTCCATTTCTGCTGCTTTCTAAGGCATAATAGCACTGATCTGGGTTGGAAGTGGTACAGCTGAGACAGACCCATATGGGATGCTGATGCTTCAGACTGAGGCTTAACATGCTATCCCACAGCACTGGCCCTGGGAATTTGCATTTTAAAATCAAGGTCCTATATGTTCAATCTGTACCATAATATTATAATTAGGATTTCATTTTGTCATATAAGTAGGATTTCATGTTGCTTCATAATTCTCACTAATTGCTTTAGGTTTCCAGATCTTTGTTTCCACAACCAGCTGACGATTGCTTAAAGTAGACTGATATTTCTTGTCTCATGACTGAGAAGTGAATTTGCAGAAATGAGCTTTCTTCAAACATGTCACAACTTCTGTACTTACTTGCAACTGCCAGGTACGGCACATCTTATTTCCTTAACATAAGCACTGATGAGAGCTCCACAGTTGGATCATTCTTTCACTATTCTAAATCTTTGCTTCTCAAAGCTGCCATATTTGTCAATTAATTACAATGATAGCTACAGTAGAAATTGGCAAGCCTTTGAACTGGCATCTTTCAGGAGCAACTATAGTCATCTCTTGAGCTTTTGATTAACTCAGAGAAAAATGGATATATAATGAATAAATCAGAAACATTCATAGAGAATTAGAAATAAAGCAAAAAAGTGGCTATTTGAACACAAGAACAAATGACCTATCTGTATAAGGCTAAAAGTTAAAAAAAATTCAAACCATGTCTACCTCATTTTTCCAATCATAGAATCTGAAATAATTATGCTAGTTTTGGTGATAAGATTTTACACCAGAAGACAGGTCAGTGCCTTTGTGCTCCAGTGGCTGGTACTGTTAGGTACACAGAAGGAATTCAGAATCATTGAGTGAATGAAGTGAAGGTAAAACCATTAACTGATACTACCAAATTCTTTGATATGTTTTCTATGTATTTTCTTACATCAAAATACTTTAGGATTTAGTATAACTTCCCAGAGAAACAAAAAGTAGACTAAAAAGAAAAAGGCTAACAATTTCAGTCCCTTATGGTACCTAAGATAGTGCTTAGCTTGACAACTGAACTAACTTTCAGAAGGGTGTATTACAAGTTTCATTTCTCATATTATAAAAGTGATACAGTATATTATAATCCTGTTTTTTAAAGCAAATTTTAAAAAATCACAACTTATAGTTACATTATAATACAATTTTTTTTATTATTACTGCTATCATGTAATGAGACACTGCAAACAAGAGTAAGTTAGTGTTTGCCAAGAACAAGTTTGTGCATGGATGTACGTGTTGCACAGTGGGTTAAACTGGCACTTGGAGCACCTGCAATCTCATACTGTAATGGCACTTTGAGCCCTCTACTCTCCTTCCAATCAGCATCTTGTTAATTCATCCCAAGAAGCAGCAGATACAGGTGCAAGTCTGTGGGTCCTTGCCACCCACATGGGAAACCCAGACACGGTTCCAGGCTGCTGGCTTCAGACTGGTCCAGTGTAAGCTGTTGTGAACGTTTGGGAGTGAAACAGTGGATAGAAGACCTCAAGGTAGATGAACGTTGACATTAAAAAAGAAATAAATATATACTTTTTGTTACTTGATTTCTTATCTATACCCCTTAATTTTTAAAACTTTACAAAAATAATTAGCAGCAACATGTGTTTCTTGGATCTCTAAGAACTATTCATATACTACTCTATTCATGCCTGAATGTATCTACAAAAGCCTTTAAGGGGAAAAGTATAATCTTTTGCTCTGGGAGCATTTTTGACTCACTTATCCTGAAGAGAATAATATGAGAGTGAAGGTAGGTGACCACTGCCCTTTTACTAACAGTCACACTGAGTGAACCACCTTAGAAGCAGATCTACCCATCACACAGTCAAGTTATCAAACAACTGTAGTCAGCCCACATCCTGATTTCAACACCATCTGAGTTACTGGGCCAGAATTACCCAACTAAGTTCCTCTGGAATTTCTAAACACTGTTACATGAGCTCCTAAATTTTAGGGTCAGTTTGGCGTAACTGTTGTATGAAGCCAATATGTATTTACAAAAGACCATGCAAACTACTGTGGTGTACTAAAGATGAGATGCAGATTATTCACTGTACTAAGTAAATTTTTTGATTATTAATTATTATTTTTATTTTTGATGATTTTTACATAGTTGATTAGGTGATAAGGGTCAAGGGCTACAGGAAGGTGGGTGAGATCACCATTTCCACATTCTCTTTTTTTTTCCTTCCTATATCTGGGTGAAGGGGAAGACAAGGAGAGAAGAAGCCTCTGTGTTAAACAATTTTTATAAAAAGGTTTATTTATTTTTATTGGAAAATCAGATCCACAGAGCAAAGGAGAGAGAGAAAAAGATCTTGTTTACTCCCCAAAGGCCCACAGTGGCTGGATCTGAGTCAATCCAAGGTAGGAGCCAGGAGCTTCTTCAGCTTCTTCCACATGGGTAAAGGGTCCCAAGGCCTTGGGCCGTCCACTACTGCTTTCCCAGGCCACAAGCAGGGAGCTAAGTGGGAAGTAGAATAGCCAGGCCATGAACCAACACCTATAAGGGATCCCAGAGCTTGCAAGGTGAGGATATACCCAATTGGACCATCACACCAAGCTGTTTACTGAGTACTTCTTTTCTGATGTGTGCGAACCATAAGCAGAGTACTAAGGGTCATCTAACGATCAGGCTGTGTTGTTAGAACCTTTTCATTCTTTTCAGAAATCACAGGATTCTGACATTTTCTTTGTGCAGACTAGCATGAACATAAAATGAACTAAAAATTGTGTGTTCAAAAGGGTATCTGTCCCCTTCACATATGCCACTTTACTCCAATCATGTTCTAAGGCAGGCACAGTTGGTATTTGCCAAAATGTCCATCAGTCTTTCCCCTCTCAAATATCTGAATAAGATCATAAATAAAGCAAGTATACCAAAGCAAACAAATCCTCAAACCACTCAGCAAACAGAAGGAGGAAAGGACTGTGGGTGGCTAGTAGCAGCTTCCTTCTGCTACAGGGTCAAAGCACTTCTATTAACTTACTAATTCATTACAGTAGCTAGGCCAATAGGAATGTTATTTCTAGAAACAGGTTTTTTTCTTCTGAGGACTAATAATATTAAAATATACTACAAGTAGTGAAAAGCATATCACCTTAACATTTCTACAATGTTTTCTAGTTCTCAACCATGTAGATGTGTCTTTTTACAATATTCCAGCCAATGGAATATGGTTTCTACATTTTGGAAAATATCTAACAAAACCAAATATTCTAACATTCCTTTTTTTCTTGATACATAAATTCTTTTATTTTGAATTTTTGAATTTTATGGTCCATATTCCAACATTCTTTAGGAAGAGATTTCACCTGCATTAGCTAAAAGTGAATTTAATTTTGTAATTTTCACTATTTATTCATGTCACTTGAAATCTAAGCATATTTAATACATAAATTTTATTTTTCTAAACTGTTTTTAAAGATGTCCTATTCTGCTAATGATGAATGTTTAGGTTGTTTCTATTTCTACTCAATGAAGCATAACCTTTCTGCATTATGCCTTTTTAAGCTTTTTATTAAAAAGGCAGACTTACAGAGAGAAAGATCCTCTTTCCACTGGTTCATTCCCCAGATGGCAACAACATCCAGAGCTGAGCTGATATGAAACCAGGAGCCAGGAGCTACTTCCAGGTCTCTCCTGGATTCAGGTTCCTAAGGCTTTGGACAGCTTTCCCAGGACACAAGCAGGGAGTTGGATGGGAAGTGAGCAGCCAGGACATGAGCTACTGCCCATGTGGGATCCTGGCACTGGAAGCAGAGGATCAGTCGATTGAGTCATTGCTGCCAGGCCCTATGCTTTCTTGCATATATATACATGCAGCATGCTAACCCTCTGCCTGTGCTGCTGGCATCCCACATGGATGCTGCTCCACTTCCAATCCAGTTCTCTGCAAATGTGCCTAGGGAGGCAGCATAGGATGGGCCATTGCACTCACAAGGTAGAAGTGGAGGAAGCTCCTGGCTCCTTTTTCTGGTTTGGCCCAGCTCTGGCCATTTGCAGCCATTTGGGATCCAAATCAGTGGATGGAAGATCTGTTTCTCCTTCTCTCTGCGTAACTCTGCCTTTCAAATGAATAAATCTTAAAAGATTTTTCTTTGGGGGTCATTGTTGCAACACAGTGGGTAAAACTTCCACCTACAGAGCTAGGTTTGAGTCCTGGCTGCTCTACCTTCCATTCAGCACCCTGCTAATGTCCCTGGGAAAGCAACAGAAGATGGCCCAAGTACTTTGGCCTATCCACCCAAGTAGAAGACCTGGAAGAAGCTCCTGGCTCCTGCTTTAGGTCTGGCCCAGTCCTAGCCATTGTGGTCATTTTGGGGAGTAAACCAGAGAGGATGGAAAATCTTTCTGCTTCTCCTTCTGCTTTACTATCACTTTGTCTTTCACACAAATAAATAAACAAATAATTCTTAAAAGGATTGTGCTTAAAACAGGGTGGGTCTTTTTTTTGTTTTGTTTTGGTTAACAACTAAGCACAATTTTTAAAGAAAAAACTAGACAGCTATATCTATTTGCTTAATCTTTTATGTCTTTGCTAAATGCTCATGAAATGGGGAAAAAACTAATAAATTTAAAACTTAAGAGTTCTACATAGAATTATATAGAAATGTAATTCATTTATTTGTCTATAGAAAACTTGTGTTTAGAATTCCAATTGTAGATCACCAAGGCAAGTAAAATGTGGAAGACATATTACATCTCAACATTTGAATACACTCCTCTCTGCCTCTCCAGTTATTGTTAGGTTTGAAGAGAATCTTGCCTACACACATCAACATCTGGATACAATACTAAGTAACTCAAGAAGTCTCTGGATCCTAATTCTTCTTTTAGTAAGTAAACCTGACAGTGCAGTCTACCTTGGACTGTTTTTCTCTCGTTGCTCCTAATTTCACTTTATCATGTGGTTGATCAAAAGTCAGATTGTTCTTTGTTCCACTGTCTTCAGGCAGGGGAAGATAGCCATAACTGTCATCTGTGAGAGAAAAAAAAAAAAAAAACACTCATAGACTTCAACAGCAAATCAATTTTTGATACCATATGGAAAAGTAAAAATACTACAAACCTAAAACAATAATTTCAAAATAATATAGATTTTAAGCTATAAATTAAAAAAAAATTTAGATAGTTACCTTGACAACTTATTTACTTAGATTTTTTCTCCTTTCCACCAAACACGCAAAACTCCTATTCTTCCCAAAGTCAGTGGTGTGTAAGAGATATAGGATTTGCAAAAGTAGAAATGGAAATACCACAAAAAGTTCATTGAAAATGTGACTGAGGAAAACTTACATATAGATTTCAAATTTTTTTGCACCAAAATAAACTTATCTTTCCATTTTATTTCCATTTTATTTCTTGACAATGTTTTCGAAGTACCTGCACAAGCTTGTTGGTACCTTATTATCAGCAACAATTAAACTACTAGAAGATTGACATTTCTAGTCCCTGGCACTTCCTGACAGAAGGACTCCATTACACAAAATATAGACACTTTACCTGCAGCAATTACAAGAGCAAACAGAATTTTATTTCCAGACATTGGGCAAAAGCTGTACATATAATAGTCTATTTCCTTTACAAATTTAACAGCAAAACATCATGTACTCTTTACAAACTATACTATTATGCAAGTTTTATTTTCACTTATACATTTCTTGGTAATATGCATTTCTTACTTATTTAATATAACTACTATATGCTCACTTAAAAAATTAAAATGCACACATGACAAAAATTAAAAATGAAAAGTAAAATTACCCATGCTTTTTATAACCTGTACAAGATTCCTGAAGTTTTTCTTTTCCTAAGTACATACATTCACATCAGAATTTTTCCTACATTGATGAAACAGTTTATTTTTGTAACTCGTATTGGCTGCTATGTATCATGAATATATTTCTTAGTAAGTAAACATCTATTATCATTATGTTTCTTGGATACATAGCTTTTCATATTGCTCACTGTCATTCAGCTGTTATTATTTGTCTCTAGCCTTTAATTATTATGTGACACACATCCCTGCGTATGTATCTGGTGAACTTACATGGTCTGATACATAGACCTAAATTTTCTGTTTAAAGGGCACAAAATTTTTAAAAGCTCTTCCTGTTTATTGGCAAACTACTTTCTAGCAAGTTTCATTAACTCATATGTGAGAGTCATTTTCCTATATTCTGCATGTATTCATTTGAATGAATACGTAAGCTGTACTACTGCTATTACAGTATCAGAACTTCTGAGAAACAATAGAGGAATAAAACAAATCAACTTCCAAGAGGTTTAAACTATTAGAAAAAAATTAACATGAGCATACCTCGATTAGAATTCACAAGCAGTAACTGTGATTGGAGCTTGTCAATAATAGCTTGCTGAACTGATAGCTGTTCCTGTTGCTCACGTATCCTCTGTTCGTAGCTCTCAGTCTGCTGATACAAAAACCAGTTAGCCCGATACTGACTGACAGACACAAGCATTGCCTACATCGCCATTTCACAGTATTATTTATTCATGAGATATTGACTGACTCCAGAAACACATTTGTAATTATTATAGACATTAGTGGTTAAAATTACTTAAAGGACTGTAAAACTTTAGTAGGATTTCATTATTTAAACACAGTTACAAGTTTTGAGATTGGTTTCTTGGTCCTTTAGTTTGAATAAAAATTCTAATTTGCAATTTAGTCCTAAATAAAATAATATTTTTAACTGATAAAATAGGTATTGTATCAAAATCATTACTCACACTAACTATAGAAACTAAGACATCACATCTTTCAGATAAATATAACTCTGAATTTCCCTTTATAACTAAAGCCACATAGGAAGCAGTCATAAATAAGACATTAGGAAAATGAAAGAGACAAGCTATGGGACGTTTATGTCAAGAAAACATGACAGTTTTCTTCTTTTGGTTATATCTTAAAGATTTTAATTTTACTTTTATTTCTAATCACTCATTTTTCTGTTTTATGGCACTTAAGCAATGGAGGAGACATGAGCTTGTGTAAAGGTATACAGATGTTGCAAACCTTCAAGTTAATGGAAATACTGTATCTCAATTTTAGCAAGCTAGTAAGGTCTTAAAAATATATGCCATGACCATTGCTTATCTTCCTGTCTTACATACCAGAGTTGTACAAAAGGACTTCTCTAGCCTGTTCAGTAACACTGGTAGAATGTACTTGTATGAGTGTTTAGTAATATGCTTTAAGACTGTTCCTATAATTGGATTGCTGGTATGCATACAGTAACATGAGAAGTACAAATTGGGAATTTGCAACACCATTTCCATTTAACCATGAGTTTCACAAAAATGCTTCTGGTACAGTGTTCATGTACCATAACTGTACTGGAATATCTGTACAATGTTAAGTATTTTTAATAAAATTGAACATGTACAAAAAATATAGCACCAAACAATTGAGAATTATCTACTAATTCCTATTACTAGAGGAAGAAATAAACAAATGACAGATTGTAAATGCTTTAAAGTATGAAAGGAGTCAGAATAATCTCAGATTGTCCTTCCGTAGAAACCAGGTTATCTGATATTAAATTGATTTTTAATAAAAGCTCACAATTAGTGAAGCTATTATTCTCAGACTAGTAAGCTTAGACTTTAAATCTTTAAAAGTCTTTAAATTTCTTAAAACTAATCTTTTAAACTTTTTTCTTAAACCCAGCTATTACTAGATTTTCAAATAAAACTCACCTTTAAAAATGTATCCAAATAAAAGGTGAGTTTTTATGAATAACAGGCTTCAGAATGAACAAGTAACAAGGCTGTTAAGTAACCCAAGTCATGTGTGGTTTTGCACACTGCTTGAGATCACTCATTTATAACTTGACATATCCCACAAAATTCTGTAAAGTAACTTAAACACAGATGTTGAGTACATGCTTACTGAAAAAAGGGAAGAATCCAAATATAATTTATTAATTATGGAAAGAATAATGAATCTTGTGAGCCTGTCTGGACCATTTCTCCAATAATTATGAGTTTCAGAACTGATTATAAGTCTGTGCTACAGACAAGATATCTTATTCCTATTTAAATTCACATGAAAAACCCTAAGGATTTAAGCACTGAGAGTAAATTCTTTGTTTTCTTTAATGGTGAAAAAAAGACTGTATTTAAAATTAGCCAGCTGATCTCAGTTTAGATGATTTCAATTTTGTTGGTGACATTGAAAGCATGATAATAAGGAGCCAGTTGAACATATGCTGCCTTCTCCCCATGAGGTGTGATTAGGGTGTTGACTTTGGCCACATCGATGTCATCAAGACTCTTCACAGCTTGTTTGATCTAGTGCTTGAACACTAGCATGTTGTTGTCTTCTACATTGTTTAGCAGACTGACCAATCGGGGGAACTGGATGATGGCATGGTGGTCAAGCCTGTTTCTCCAGCTCGTTCCACTGAGGTTATTTGGGCTGCCACCAGTGGCTCAGTGTTTTGAGCTGCTGCAACCTGGGTAGAGTGTGGAGCTTTGCTTTGGGGCTGTGGACTCCCTCCAGCATTACCTTATTTGCCTTCAAAGTTTCTGTTTTGGCTTTGGGAGGGGCAGTAGCTTCCTTTGTTTTTGGCACATTCTTGTAAAAAGCATAATTTTTTGGCCAATGTAAAACACTTTGTTTTTTATTACTTTATTATTCTGACAGAGTTCCATAGGCTCTTGGATTTCCCTTCCCCCTTACCCAAATTCCCATCCTCCCCACTAATTTTTCCCATGTCATTATAGTAGTATAGTCCTTCACAGTCATAAATCCATACTTGGGCTGCACTGCAACCAGTATCGAAAAATTAGCAAGCATGTTAGCCTTGTCAATCTAGTTCTAAGTAGTTAGAACTTTCTTGAAAGAAGTTAGTCACAAACATCAACCACTAATTAACTGTTTTTTTTTAAGATTTATTTTTTATTGGGAAGGCAGATTTACAAGGAGAATGAGAGACAAAGATTTTCTACCCACTGATTCACTCCCCAAATGGCTGCAACAGCCAGAGCTGAGCCAATTTGAAGCCAGGAGCCAGGAGCCAGGGGTTTCTTTTGGGTCTCCCACATGGGTGCAGGGTCCCAAGGCTTTGGGCCATCTTCTACTGCTTTACCAGGCCACAAGCAGGGAGCTGGATGGGAAATGGAGCACCTAGCATAGGACCTGATGCCCATATGGGATGCCTTGTCTTGCAAGGCAGAGGATTAGCCAATTGAGACATTTTGTTGGCTGCTATTTATTTTTATTTGAAAGGCAGATTTAAAGAGAAAAAGAGACAGAGAGATCTTTCATTTGCTGCCTCACTCCCCAAATTGCCACAACCACCAGAGCAGAGCTGATCTGAAGCCAAGTACTTCTTCCAGATCTTCAACATTAGTTCAGGGGCCCAAGGTCTTGAGCCATTATCCATTGCTTTCCAGGACATAAGCAGGGAGCTGGATCAGAAGTGGAACATAGACACAAACTATTGTCCATATGGGATGCTGGTGCTGCAGGTGGCGGATTTAGCCTGTCACAACACCACACCAACCCTACTAATTACCTATTCTTCTCACAGTATATTGGTAAGTACATATATTCCACTGCCTGGAGATTATATAGCCAGTAAAAATAACAGCCAGTTAGCCCAAGCCTAGAGTAAGTGCATAAATAGTTAAGCCTCATTTCATCCTTCACCTACTTTGGGATTTATTTTTTTCCCATCCACTTTAACGAAGAAACAAAATGGCCATTTATTTTCTTTTGGATCCAATGCAGACAGCTCTGCCAGTTAATTTTCATCTTCTACTCTCTGGCTTAAAAATGCATGTTAACACATCTGCATATATAGTATATTATAATAAATGAATAATGTAAAATTACATAATAGCTGAGAATAAATCAATGGCTATTTAAAGATGAACTTTTGTATTATTTCTCAAATCACTTAATATAAAATTAAGGAAAATTCTGTAGTAATTTTAAAAAACTGATACCCTGGAAGCATATCAGGGGCAAGAATAACTATGATCCATGATTTTGCATAACTGAACATTATAGCAGTCTGTATGCAATTGCCCTCCAGACTGTGACCTCCTTAAGGCCAAGACCATTTCCCCCTGAGAGCTCCAGAGGATCACAGAGTGCCTGGCACATTTGGAGGTGCTCAGTAATTATTAGCTGGGTAAATAAGCTGATTAAGTTGTTAAAGAAATAGCAGAAATAGAAATGCCTTCAGAAGTAACCTGAAGGGACAGAAAAATGACTGCTTACACTTCCATAGGACAAAAGAGAAAAATGGAAACAAAGTAGGTAAATGAGATAAAGCTAAATCAAATTAGAGAAAGTAGACTCACAAGATACAAACATTTGAACATGTTTTCTGAAAAAAAGGGGGGGGGGAAATTTATTAGGTTAGGAGAAAAAATATAGTAATATGAAAATAGAAAATACATACTCAGAAAAGAATAGAAAGATGTTGGCCACAGGCTATAAGAAGGAAGCCCAGACAATATTTAATCAAACTGAGAAATAACCAGTTGAACTCAGTGTACACGCTATATTTGCAAATTCATTACAAAATAAGCTTTTTTCTTTATTTTTATTAAAAGCGTCTGCTCATTCAGTAAATGGATCTGGATAACATGAAAAAATCCTTGTAAAAGATAATTGTTGAAAGCACACTATTTTGTTTTGTAAAAAAAAAAAAATACAATTACGAAGTGCATTCCAGCACTATCAGAGACCCCATAAAACAGAAAAATCACTAACAACCACATTGAAAATGTACAACAGCAATGTCTTGTCAACACTTCTGTACAGAGCACAGACATGACAGCTAAAACAGACAGAAGAGAAGATGCTTTTGACAGCCAGTGTGTGTGAATGATTCTTTGAGTCAGATGGCAGCAACAAGTTACCAACTAGGAGATCTGCATGACAACTAACCATCCATCTGTATCAAACACCATCTGGCCAAGATGACTCTGGCTTCTGTGTATCTGACACTCCTTCCATTTCCAAAGACTAGCAAAACAAATGGTCCACCAGCATCTGAAGAGGTAAACAGGTACTCGGATACTTGTGTCATAAGGCCCTTCGTATTTGATCTTTATGTTCAAAACCAAACTTTAAACATGGGGATAACATACAGTAGTACATATCTTTTCTTTCAATTATTAGAATGGTGCCCATACATACTGAAACATGATAAATAAAACAAAAAGTTAATCTTCAGAATTTCCCTTTTAGTAAGGTAAAATTTCAACTCTTTAACTTCAAAACGAAGGCAGCAATATTTCTTGTAATTTTGGACATACAGCTGTTCAGATTTTCATAAATATTAAAATAGATTTCTATAAATTGATTTTTTTACTTCTGCTGACATTGAATATTCTCATTTTTCATATTTGCCAAGGCACCTATTTTCTATATATAGGGGAAAAAAAATGTTACAGTGTCCTGAAGTCATCTATAATACTCCAAATACGTCAAGTGTAATTTCTTCTCATCCTTGAGGACTAAAAATATTCTGAAAAATACCACTTCTGTCCTCTAATGATTTATTAAGGAATTTAATAAATGATAGATAGATTTAAAAAATAGTCTCATTTAAAAATCTTTCAAACTGTTTCAAGATTAAGAGAATGAAATTTTTATGGATGGATTTGCTTGGCTTCCACAAAAGCTCTCAATAGCGAGTTCTACAGTTCATGAAGGAAGATAATTAAATATTAATTATCTCAATACATAACACTTTGGGCACAAACTAATTAATTTAGACACAATCTGATTAAAAGTCCATCTTGAAAATTTGGTTAACTAAGCATCAACTTCAATTTCAAGTTAGAAAAGTAGATCACAGATCCTTGCACAATGCTTTCTTTAACCATTTTGTCTACTGGATTATAAATCCCCCCGAGATGTCATGACTTAGATAGGAGATAAGAAACTTGACAGATCAGACAATTAATCTGATTACCCATTATTAGGTAACAGTTCTGCCAACAATTTATCAGCATACAAAATGACACCTTAATATTGGTCTTCTCAGCCTTCAGAACTGTGAGAAAGAAATTTCTTTTATAAATTACCTGCTCTAAGGTATTTTGTTATAATAGCATAAATGGACAAAGATAAGGTAATGTATATAGCTATCAAAAAAAGTTCTGATTACCACTGAATTGTTATGTTTATCACACAATTATCCTTTGCTTTGAACCTGTTCTCTATTTTCTTTTTCTAGTTCATTATAACCTAGGATTCAGATGTTGCCTTTTTGAAAAACCAGGATGATATCTCCACTGGGCCAAAAAACATTCTCAAGGAATAAAAAAAATCCCTATTTCATAGTTGTTCAAACTTTACAAAGAAACACAATGGATTAAAAATCATTATGAATTAAAGGCTGTTTAAAAAATTTTAAACTTTCATGCTTGTCGATAAAATGAAAATGAAAGCCAACCAACCACTACTACCACTGCATAAGCACAATGTATTTGCAAATATACACAGATATGCACAAAGTATAAAAGTGAGCATTTCTTCCCTTTGCTTTGCATTCCTCAGGGTTAACTATTGGCAATTGGGTAATGTGCACTTTCAGAATTACTGTATATGTGCATATGTATCTCACTTCACAAGATGAGAACTGCATTGCAACCAAAATTTTCAACTCAGCAACATAATACCACTTGTGATTCTACTCCATATCAAAATTAGAAAATCTATTTTTCTTCATCTCTTTTAATTCTTAAGCCCATCTTCTGAGACTATTTCACACAATTTACAGATAGAAAACTGAGGGCAAAGAGGTGTAAAATCAGCTGGTCACATTTCCTAGCAGGTGGCAGAGCTAGGACTTGGATCTTGGCTTATGTGACCATGAAGCTCAGGTGCACAGATCACTGCTATGTCATAAACGTTAAGCCCATCTTTGCTCTCCCGAAGCCCTCATTTTGCTATGTACTTTCTTCATACATAATCACCTCCAGGCAAAATACAGCCATGTTCTGATGACTCGTCTTTCCTGATGTAACCTACACCTTTCCTCTGATCCCTGCATTTATGCAGACAATTGCTACTTCAATTTTTTTCAAATTCAAAGTGGATTTACAGAGAGAGAAGGAGAAAGAGTGGAGGAGCTTCCATTCACCTGTTCACTCATCAAATGGCTGCCACTGAGCTGATGTGTAACCAGAAGCCAGGAATCAGAAGCCATGAGCTCCTTTGAGTTTTCCATATGGGTATATAGAATCAAGGACTTGTGCTATCCTCTGCTGTCTTCCCAGGCCATTGGCAGAGGCTAGATGGAAAGTGAAGCAACTGGGACACAAACTGGCGGCCATACGGGATGCCACCATTTGAAGGTGGAGGATTAGCCTGTTGCGCCACATCACCGGCCCTTATAAGCTTATTTTCTTTTGTAGTTATTTTTTTTCCTTCTTCTTTCCCTCCAGTTCTATAGGAGAAAGGTTCTCTGCTCAAAGTAAACTTCTTAATTCATATTCAATAAATATTTATTTATTTGGGCCTAGCGCAGTAGCTTAGTGGCTAAAGTCCTCACCTTGAACATGTCAGGATGTGAGTAAAGGCTTCTTCCATGGCAGACAAAGGGGTAAATCAGCAGGATGTGGTTGTTTACCATTGATCAGTAAAAGAGCAAGAGTTAAGGGAAAGACCTGGCGTGGTGACCTAGCAGCTAAAGTACTCGCCTTGAACGTGACCGGATCCCATATGGGCCCTGGTTCTAATCCCAACGGCCCTACTTCCCACCCAGCTCCCTACTTGTGGTCTGGGAAAGCAGTCGAGGACAGCCCAAAGTTTTGGGATCCTGTACCTGTGTGGTAGACCTGGAGGAATTTCCTGGCTCTTGGCTTCGGATCATCTCTGCTCTGGCCATTGTCCCTGCTTGGGGAGTGTTGGGGAGTGAATCATTAGACAGAAGATCTTTCTCTCTGTCTCTCCTCCTCTCTGTGTATCTGACTTTGCAATAAAAATAAAATTTAACCTTAAAAAAAAAAAAGAGTTAAAGGAAACTTCTATTTCTGTTTTAACAAAAGATTATCTCAGCATTCTTCCCCAATTCTGTTTCTTACCTTTCCAAAACAGAGAATGCCTCTGTGCAGCCTACTGTGAAAAACAAAACCCTCTGAATTTTGAATGTCAAACATGGTTTCCTCCACACAGCATAAATGTGATAATTTTTGAAATTGGAAGGAAAATGAATAGCTAGTCTTAACAGATTCCTTTAGACTCTTTCTGATACTATTTAATATTAAAAACATGGTTATGCATTTTTGCTCTTTGTTGAAATATATCTTAGCTATGAGTATGACTGTATAATGAATCCTATGGGTACTAGAGAATTTAAAGAACATGTAAATTGAACTAAGGACTTCTGAAACAATAGCAAGTAATGATATCACACAAGAAATCCAGTAACTATCATCATATTTCATAAAAGTATATGCTGATACAATTACGTCTTTATTCCCAATATTTAGAAATATGGAACATAATACAAGATTAAGGGAAAAATTTTAAATGGAACAAATCTACCACCACAACAAGTTTATTCATTGTATGTTTCTCATGTTGCTGCAGAGCAAAGAAAACTCTATTACTGATGAATCACAGATATATGCATAGAAATTACTGTGCTGATTTGTGACTGAATAGAATATATCTTTCTTCCAATCTACTTTCATTTGAAATTGAAAGTACAAAATAGAAACTTCAGATGTAAAGTTTTTAAAAGCTGAAACTTTTATTAAGTCGGATTTCACTGTAATAGTCTAACATAAAGACTGGAGTTTTTATAAATAAAAATTTAGTTTAAAACTATATCAATATTTTCAGACTTTTTGCCAGCCAAATATCACATTAAAACAAATACAAAGTAGCTGAGACAACAATACTTTTAGCTTTCAATTTGTCATCACACTGTTTTTAACATTGATTCCCATTTAGATACAAAGTAATAACTGATATTAAAAATTTAGACAGCAATATTCTTTAATTTGCCTAAAACAATCACTTTAACACGAAATCATCAAATCTGTTCTATCAAAGGTCAAAATGTTTTTTCAAAAGAAAAAGATCAAATTCCATCCATGTATTTCAGTAATTATAGTTCTTAAAGGCAGTCTCTACTAATGTAACATTGTTCAGTTACAAAAGGCCCTCAAATTGCACAGAAAGATGTTCAAAATCAGAACCACACACCTTTTGCTGTAGTTCTCTCACTGCATTATCTCTATCCATGCATGCCTGTCGGAAGGCTTCATATGCCTTATTGAGTTGCTCACCAATGTTTTTATCCATTCCTCTGTGTCCCGTAGCATCACTATAAAGGATGGAGCAAATGACAGGTCTAGAAAATAATCACAATAATTTAGTTAAATTATGTTCATCTCATTTAAAAAATGCACCTTAAACATGATCCTTTAAGATTTTCTGCAAATGATATAGTATCAAAAACTTTGAATGTTTATAAAGGCATAAAGGTCTCTCATCTAAAATCCTGAGCTGAAATATTATGAAACTTCTTTAAGTCTTAAATATCTTTACTAGCATTACATATCATAAAGAGCTATTGTGAATGCAGTAATCAATAAACATAGTCTAAAAATGGAGAAATAGAAAAGGTTACTTTATTAATATTTTATTATAGAGATATATTACAAGATTAGCAATATGAGAAAGGAATTCTTTTTGCTAAAAGGATAGTTACTCCCACTTATACTGTGAATTCTTGCCACACTGAAATTAGAGCAAAATTAAATAGATAATAAATGTTTGTGGTTGGAGTTCACACTTATTGGAGAGCAATTAAAATGTGTGAAAATGCTCTTATTTTAGCACAAAATCTAGGGAGAGCTACTGTTGGACTGTACATTAAAAAAATATCACATCCTTTTAGTCCTATCCCTACCACTTAGTAGTTTTCCAGCTTCCTTGCTGTATTCAAACTACAGGTAATTTGCAAAGTGGAGGTAATTAGATTTTACCAGCTCAGTTTATATATCTCTAACTACATTTTTTGTCTCTAAGCAGAGACCTAATAACTGAATCTTCCTGTCTAACTGTATAAACGCTAACACAGAACCTTTCTATCTCTTTTAAGACAAAAGATTTATATGATCTGAAGAGAAACCAGAGTACCTACCTATGTCTTTTAAGGACCTTTCTCTTAATCTTCTAAAAGCCACAGAATAGACAAAATTTACCTGCTGACTAATAGGGTACTAAATAATTCACTCTTGGAGAAATCTAAATTGTTTTTTTTTTTTTTTTTTTTTGACTTCTTTTTTTTTTTTATTAATAAAATTAATTTTGACATTCTTCACATACTTAGTTAGAGTAAGAAGGTTCAAGGGCTACAGGAAAGTGGATAATACTAGTATGTTTTCCATATTGTTACCTTCATGTTAAAAAGGGGGGTATTAAGGGAGAAGGCCCACCCAATTTCCCACCCTCCCCAAGTCCCGGGTGTAGGGCATGCTCTGAGGTTCTTCCTCGAGTGGTTTTGATATTGCAACAGTTATGAATCGCTGTCAATCTTGCCACTCCAAGCACTATGAGGTCTTTGAAAAATCCACTGATTGACATAGTCCATCATAGCTGAGATGGTTGGTTGACCTGTTCTGTCTTCTCTCTTTTCTTCGTTAGGGTTCTGAGTCCAGCATTTAGATTAGGAAGATCTCCAAAGAAACTTCTTGTATGTGCTAACAAGTACAGGGCCAGGCACCGTCCATCGCTCCAATCAGCTGGTGGTTGTAATTGCTGGGTTGGTTCTGTTTTCACTCCCGACTTCCACTGGAACCAATGGGTGTTGCGGTCCAGCCTGGTTCTGCCCCACACATATTTGGTCCTCACCTAAACCAGTGGGAGCTGCAGCCTAGTTGGAGCGACCCACAATAACCCCCACCAGGACCGCCCCTACCCTGGTTTGCCAGTAAGTGTAGCAGTAATCCAGTCTGTCCCACACCCCATTCCACCCCAGCCACTGTTTAGTTTTATGTCCTCCCGTGGAAGTGGTAACCCAAGAGGGATGAGCCCACTATTTCCCTCCCAGGCCTCTCCCACTCCCAGATTCCAGTTACTGCTGCCCAACTAAACCCCGCCCACTTTAATTCTGTTTGCACCAGTAGGAATAATCAGCCCAGCTCGGCTTTTCCCTGATCTAGTCCACATGAGGCACGCAGATGTGGTAGCTCTGCCTAGTCTGGTCTGCCCCCATCCCAGCCCATGCTCTCCTGCGGAAGTAGCTATCCTGCAAAGGAACCCTCCCTTGTTCCCCTGCTGGCTCTGCCTACTTCCTTTCTTGTTCTCAGGCTGGTTGGGCGCTGCGGTCCCCTCTGGTACAGGCAACCTCACCTCGGCATTCCATATTGTGCACTAGTCTTTGTTGCGACCGAACCTGGGTCAACCCACGCTGGTGCCTGGATTTGCCAGTGGATGACGTGGACAGATTCAGCCTGGTCTTGCCCCCACGTCTGCCAAGTGTATGCCAGTGGGTAGCTTTCCATGGCCTTTTCTGGGCTGTTTCCTATCATGTTTCTTGCGCTGACCTGCCGGGTCTGTGTCCTGCCAGAGGAGTTGCCCAGGCTCCTCCATCAGAACCTCTCCCAATGCCAGGTTACACGCTTACCAGTGGGTCCATGAGCCAACCCTACTCAGTCCACCTCCTGTCATAGCAGGAACTGTGGCTTTTCCTGACTGGCCTTCCACCCAATCTGGTTCTTGCTGTTGGATGTTTCGGCCCAGCCATCGTTTGTCCATACCTACGTATGGCTCACACATGGCTCAGTAGGGGTTTGAGACCTTGCCTAGTCTATCACACATCTGCCCTGGTCCTCCAGAACACCAGGGGGAGTCGGGGTCCAGCCCGGTTCGGTGCATCCAATCCCAGTCCACACTTGTGCCAAGGGAGACTACAACTGTATCCAGATCAGAACGCAGCCCCCCTTCCAGGCCATGCACCTCTTTGTGGGAACCTCAGCCCAGCTAGGGTTGTCCCCTTTGCTCCCCAACCGAGTCTGTTCCCAGCCATAGATCACTCGCATGCCAGTGGTTGCTCTGACTCAGCTTGGCACAGCTCCTCACCTGTCCCGACCTCTGCCTTAGACACTGTGGCTTCGTGTCCCTGGCTCCTGCAGACCAGTAGGTACAAGAGCCTAGCTTGGCATGACCTTTGCTCCCTCCTGGTTTCTAGTTTTACTTGTGGGCTAAGGTTTGCTCATTCGTACCAGATCTGCTCTGTTCCCTACCAGTTGACACATTAGCCAGCCGTTGGAGATACTTTTGCAGGACAAGCCCCAAGCCCAGGCTTCTGCATGGACTGGTATTTGGTGCCCAGCATTATTAGTGATTACAACTTTTACAAGGAAAGAGTTACTGCCTGTTTGAGGTCCGAGAATCACAATGGGTTCAACCTGGAGCTAATTAAGCAGCGAATCAAAGAACCAAATCCCCAGAGCTCCCCAGCCGGGCGGCCAGCAGGCGGAGCCTGGCACCAATGGCGCACTGGCCGCCCGGGAGGACGGCTCACCATGTGCCCATGGCGGCCGTCCGGAATCCAGGCATGAGACGCCCCGTCCTGAGACCCGCCAGCCGCCGGGAGGCTGCTGGAGGTTTAAAATTCCCAGGCCCAAGGTCGCGCCCCTCCCAAATCCCCTTCACCGCCCAATGAGGGCGGTGGCTGGGTGCCGGACCTGCCGGGTCCCAGAGGCCTCCCCCCTCGGTCTACTCACCCCAAAGGAAGCAGCCTCTGGAACCCAGCAGGCCCGGGGAGGACGGCTCACCATGTGCCCATGGCGGCCGTCCGGAATCCAGGCATGAGACGCCCCGTCCTGAGACCCGCCAGCCGCCGGGAGGCTGCTGGAGGTTTAAAATTCCCAGGCCCAAGGTCGCGCCCCTCCCAAATCCCCTTCACCGCCCAATGAGGGCGGTGGCTGGGTGCCGGACCTGCCGGGTCCCAGAGGCCTCCCCCCTCGGTCTACTCACCCCAAAGGAAGCAGCCTCTGGAACCCAGCAGGCCCGGGGAGGACGGCTCACCATGTGCCCATGGCGGCCGTCCGGAATCCAGGCATGAGACGCCCCGTCCTGAGACCCGCCAGCCGCCGGGAGGCTGCTGGAGGTTTAAAATTCCCAGGCCCAAGGTCGCGCCCCTCCCAAATCCCCTTCACCGCCCAATGAGGGCGGTGGCTGGGTGCCGGACCTGCCGGGTCCCAGAGGCCTCCCCCCTCGGTCTACTCACCCCAAAGGAAGCAGCCTCTGGAACCCAGCAGGCCCGGGGAGGACGGCTCACCATGTGCCCATGGCGGCCGTCCGGAATCCAGGCATGAGACGCCCCGTCCTGAGACCCGCCAGCCGCCGGGAGGCTGCTGGAGGTTTAAAATTCCCAGGCCCAAGGTCGCGCCCCTCCCAAATCCCCTTCACCGCCCAATGAGGGCGGTGGCTGGGTGCCGGACCTGCCGGGTCCCAGAGGCCTCCCCCCTCGGTCTACTCACCCCAAAGGAAGCAGCCTCTGGAACCCAGCAGGCCCGGGGAGGACGGCTCACCATGTGCCCATGGCGGCCGTCCGGAATCCAGGCATGAGACGCCCCGTCCTGAGACCCGCCAGCCGCCGGGAGGCTGCTGGAGGTTTAAAATTCCCAGGCCCAAGGTCGCGCCCCTCCCAAATCCCCTTCACCGCCCAATGAGGGCGGTGGCTGGGTGCCGGACCTGCCGGGTCCCAGAGGCCTCCCCCCTCGGTCTACTCACCCCAAAGGAAGCAGCCTCTGGAACCCAGCAGGCCCGGGGAGGACGGCTCACCATGTGCCCATGGCGGCCGTCCGGAATCCAGGCATGAGACGCCCCGTCCTGAGACCCGCCAGCCGCCGGGAGGCTGCTGGAGGTTTAAAATTCCCAGGCCCAAGGTCGCGCCCCTCCCAAATCCCCTTCACCGCCCAATGAGGGCGGTGGCTGGGTGCCGGACCTGCCGGGTCCCAGAGGCCTCCCCCCTCGGTCTACTCACCCCAAAGGAAGCAGCCTCTGGAACCCAGCAGGCCCGGGGAGGACGGCTCACCATGTGCCCATGGCGGCCGTCCGGAATCCAGGCATGAGACGCCCCGTCCTGAGACCCGCCAGCCGCCGGGAGGCTGCTGGAGGTTTAAAATTCCCAGGCCCAAGGTCGCGCCCCTCCCAAATCCCCTTCACCGCCCAATGAGGGCGGTGGCTGGGTGCCGGACCTGCCGGGTCCCAGAGGCCTCCCCCCTCGGTCTACTCACCCCAAAGGAAGCAGCCTCTGGAACCCAGCAGGCCCGGGGAGGACGGCTCACCATGTGCCCATGGCGGCCGTCCGGAATCCAGGCATGAGACGCCCCGTCC